CAGTTTGGATGCAATTTTTTTTGCCAAACTCAAGATACGACAAAAAGACTCTGTGCCATAGCTGCCTTAATATTAAAGCTATAGGTACATCGTTTTAACACAAGGTGGGCGTCGTTTTGTTCTTTAACATATATTTTTTTCCCAAAAAGTCGTATCTCGAGTTACGATTGTTTGGAATCGTACCCTCGAGCTCAAAAGAGAAGAAGACTTGTTTTACTTTACTTTTATCCCACCATTTCTCGGATTACAGTGTTTCTAATTTTGTCTCGCCTGGTCTTGTTTACTGCTTTTCTAAGGCATCTCATTTCACAAGTTGTAATTCTTTGCTCTAATGTCTTGTTCGTGGTCCATGTTTGGCATTGATAGATGAGTGGTGGGATGAATATGGTGTTGATCATTTTGAGTTTTGTTGTCATGAGGAAGTTAGGATGTTTCAGTAGTGGAGTAAGCTGGTAACTAATAGTACTAGCCTTTTGTACCCGTGTTTCAATTTCTCTTTTCAGTCGCCCATCCTCTGTGAATATACTTCCGAGGTACTTAAATTCTTGGACCTGTCTGAGACTGTTGTTGATGTGTTTCCTGAGTGGTCCTGGCTTTCTGTTTACTTTCATTGTCTCTGTTTTGTTGATGTTGATCTTCTTGTCATACTTGTTACATTCTTCGTTTAAATTCTGGTGGTGTGGTGTTGGAGACTTCGTTCATCTTTGTGTGCCAGGCTTTGGTCATCAACGAAGAGTAATTCATTTAGGGCGTTTGGTTCTGTGTTGGCCTCTTTTATAATTCTATCCATATGCTATATGATAAATAGTAGAGGTGATAGGACACAACTTTGTCTTACTCCGACTGTTATCTCGAACCATTCTGTGAGTCCCTCCGACGTTTTTACAGTACTTATGCTGTTCTCATAAATGGCACGGGAGTTATCTAGAAGTTGGCCTCTTGCACAGTGTAGTTTTCAAATTCTTTCCACAGCTAGCTTCTGTTCACTCTGTCGAGCGCTTTCTCCTGGCCGACAAATACTAAGTTCAGTTCCCTGTTGTGTTCTATTACCCTTTCGCACTTTCGTCGTAGGGCAAATATTGCGTAGGTGCATCCTCTTCCCTTTCTAAATCCCATTTGGGCCTCACTCAGAAATCGTTCAACTTTGAGTCTTGTTCGCCATTCCAATATCTTGGCGAACATCTTTCCCATAAGCTTAGCAGGGAAATTAAAGAGAAGAAGAGACATACTAAAACAGCAATACTGGAGCAGTGTTAAAGAAGAATTCGCGAAGAAGGAAATTACCCTTGAACAGCTTGTCAAGAGAATGAGTTTTAAGCTGTTCCACCATAAAGACATGTCTTAACCCTCCCATATTTTGTCCCATATTTTTCATTGGTATGCAAAATAAACGACACGTGTAGGCCTATAATAACCTGCTTGAAGTCCTGTTCCAGGCTCCCCGTTGTGAGCAGTGGTTAAAATGAGCATGTGCTTCAAATAAAGAAAAAATACATAAAACGCAATGCTCAGAGATGGGAATGATCATTTACAAGTTTCAATCCTCTACTACTCACTGTCATTAATTAAATAAACTCTTCTGTTACAAAAAGGGGTGAGTTCAGGGTAAAAATGTCCGCATACTATGTATAGAGTAGTGACGTAACGGGGCGAAAAGAACCCTCCAAAAAAAGGGGGGGGGGGGGGGTTCCATTGCTTCCATTTTGCTAGATCAGGAGTCACCAAGCTTTGGCCAATGAGCCAGACCCGGGGGGGGGGGGCTCTCGTGGCCTAGAGGTTAAGGTGTTGGCCTCTCATTCAAAGGTCCCGGGTTCGAATCCGGGTAGTGACTGAAAAATTTTCTTCTCTAAATTTGTCTCCTTTCACCTTCTTTCCTGCTCTCTAGCAATGTTCTGTCGTCTGCTTTCGTCTCCTCTTTTTGCCCCCACTCCCTCATCTCCTTTGCCCCCCTCCTCTGGGCCCCTGATTCTTTCTACAGCCGTTCTACTGTTACTCCTTGGCTTCTTCTTACTGCTGTCTTTCAGCCACACCTCTGATCTTCTGGTAGGAAAGATCTACACCTAGCCTTCTCGGACAAGGGCTAAAAATCTCGGAGGGCTCGTGTGCAAGTTGCGCACGTTAAAGATCCCTTGGTGGTCTAAAATCGATAAGAGTAGGCTTCGGCCGCCACCCGGGCAAAATTCAAAATTTCCTACCAGCTGAAAAAGTTTAATGAGTCCCGCGCGCTCATATGACCTTATGCAGTTGCGAGCGCAGTAAAACACTTACAAAAACAAACAAGCCAGACCCGGCCCGCAAGGTCAGTTTCATCCGACCCGCCACCATGCAACTACATGTTTGAGGGGGAGTGGGTGTATTTGTAATCTTTTCATTTAACTCTAGAGCATGTTTTCACTGCAGCACAGCGTGGACACGTTATATATTTCGGAGACAATCCCCGCGAAACGTGGAGGAGGTTGTCAGCTGTCACTTTTGAAAGCATTCACGGATGAGAGTACAATTTAACACTAAAGAAGGAGTACGTCGAGTTTTACTATAGTATCCATACGATGTGGGGAACTCTGTGCCACCACTTTCCAAAGAGGAAATTTACTGGTCTATCCGTTCCGTACGCTTTGCATAGCAGCAGTCTGTCAAAATAATTTTTTGAGAAATATTGAAAGTTTCAAAGAGATCTTCGCACTAGAAGTAGGCTATTCTATAATGTGAAGAATACAACCTCTGGGGTGCAAAATGGCGTACGGATAGAGTTAAAATAGCTGATGCTTTAGAACCAGTGTGTTGTGCGTGTGTGTGTGTGTGTGTATGTGTGTGTGTGTGTGTGTTTGTGTGTGTGTGTGTGTGTGTGTGTGTGTGTGTGTGTGTGTGTGTGTGCACTTGTGTGTGTGTGAGTGAGTGTATTTAATATGCGGGTGGGTTTCGTTTTTTAAAAACTTTATTTGAAGCACTATGCTATACTTATCCATGCTCATCGCGAGGGTGTGCGTGTGTGTGTGTGTGGGGGGGGGATAGGAATTCAAGAAGGATGCATTATTTTAACTTCGATATATTATTATATGGTCGCTTTTGAGCACAAGGGGGCTATCCCGCAAATTGCTGTTTTGAGAAAATCGAAGGTAAAGTTTTTGCTCCAAGTTCAGTTTCTTTAAAAGACAAGGAGAGTTTTCTCTGTAACCAAACACACTCCAATGAAACTAAACTTGTCCTATAGGTAGGGCAATGCCCACTTTTGGTGTAGGTCATGATTTCTGGAAACCCCCGAAATCTGGGTTAGCCCGCTTGTCCTTAAAAAACGACCATTATATTACAGAAATGTGATAAATATCAGTGGAGGCTGACATAAAACGTGTCATTTTAGTGGAACAGTTTACAACTCATTCTCCTTACCGTAATTTACTACATCTACGTACTTTGCGAATTGTTCTTTCACAATCCTCCAGTATTGTTGATCTGTCTTTTTTTTTCTCTGTTGAGCACAATAAACAGGTTTCTCGTTTGTTTGAGTAAATAGAAGCACATCGACACAATGATGGTCATTTACTGCTGACAAAAGTAATACAGGTAGACAGAAAGTAATGAAGTAGGACCTCTCGTACCAAAGGTGCTCTCTTACGGTAACGACCCATGTAGCCTGCAGCTTCTACTGCGTCAACTTTAAGTCGTGTCAGTTGTATCGAGCATTCGATTTCACTTCAACTGCCTCATTTAGCTATATATCGATACCGACAGAGGGCGAGCTGTTGACAAAGAGTCTACATAACTACGTACTATCTTTGCTGTTGATCAGTATTCTTTTAGCCAGGTTACATTATTATTTCTGAACTGTGCGTTCACTTTCTCGCGACGGGTTACACCGTAATCCGCGTTATCTCTTGACTGGGAATTTTCACATGTGTTTGAGACGTCTTTGGCCTTTAGGGATGTTTCTGGTTCTGCAAAAATAAGTCATTGCCGATTCCGTGTCTTTGCTTCTACTTGAAACCACCATGCTTGAATCATGTTGGCCTACAAAATTCAGAACAATTTACACAACCGAGGTCACCGCGTTAAGAGGATTTCACACTAGCGCTCACATTATCTCCACGCTTCACGCTTTTCTCGTACTTTTAAAGCCCCCAAAATTGAGTTCAAAATGGTCAATGTTTGATGAATTCCTCATCATCAGTGCCTTTCACCCCTGGCAGGGTATACGCCACACTTACAAGCTCCTTCCATTTATCTCTGTCCCGAGCCATCCTTCCTAGCTCGTTCCAAGTGAGCTTCATCTCTCTCATGTCCCTTTCCACACGTCTCCTCCATGTTTCCCGTGGCCTACCCCTGCCTTGTGCGATTTTTTCAGGTAAATGTTTTACGGCGCTCGCAACTGCACAAGGTCATAATAATGAGCACGCGGGACACATTAAACTTTTTCGGTCGGTGGGAAACTTTGAATTTTGTCCAGGTGGCGACCAAAGCCTACTCATCGATTTTAGACAACCAAGGGATCTTTAACGTGCGCAACTTGCACACGGGCCTTCGGATATTTTTCGCCCTTGTCTGAGAAGGCTAGGTGTAGATCTTTCCTAGCAGAAGATCAGGGGTGTGGCTGAAAGACAGCAGTCAGAAGGAGCCGAGGAGTAGCAGTAGAAAGGCTGCAGAGAGAGTCAGGAGCCCAGAGGAGGGGGCAAAGGAGATGATGGGGTGGGGGTAGAAAGAGGATACGAAAGCAGACGACAGACATTGTTAGAGAGAAGGAAAGGAGGTGAAAGGAGACAATTATAGAGAAGAAAAGTTTTCGGTCGCTACCCGGATTTGAATGAGAGGCCAACACTTTAAAAGAGTATACAAAACTAGAATTGAGAACGAATTTCATAAATACAATATGAGAAATATATGGTCCTCTTTGAAAAAAATAACAGGTTATACTGCAGTGAGAAAGAGACTGTGCTGGTAAAAAATGAAAGAGACTATGCAATGAACTAAACAACTTTTATTGCCGTTTCGATTGTTATGATTTTGAGAAAGAGCAAAGTGAAATTAGACAAAGGCAGAAAGACGAGTCGAGCAAGGCGGAGTGTGTTGAGCTCAGTGAGCGGAAGGTTAAAAAGACATTTCCAAGTGTAAATATAAACAAAGCTTATGGTCCAGACGGAGTGAAACGGAGAGTGTTACGAACTTGTTGTGAGCAACTGGCCCCGATATTTACCTTCATTTTTAACCTGACCTACAAAAAAAACAAAAAAACATTCCTACATTGGAGGTAGGGGCCTACTACAGTACCAAAAAAGCCTAAAATATATGATTAATGATTTAAGACCAGTCCTCATTCTAAATCTAAAGATAATTCTTTTTTTTCCACGATTCATCACTCATGTACTTAAAACAGATAGTACATTTTCACTGATTCAAGGATTTAAAAATAAATTGTATATGTTGACAATCCTCCTGGACACAGAAACATAGCTGATTATGATATTACAAAATGTAGCGGAACTCGGATACAACAAACTTGGATTCAATGGGGGTTCCCGGGTTTTCTTTTTTTTCATTCATTGAAATCAAGAAAACAACTATTCGGAAGGTCTCATAATCCCTCAGGGCAAGGTTTACCTTTATTTTTGTTGTTATCGATCCAGACCTTTACTGTAAACAAACCCCTATAACCAATGAAATGAAAGCTGCAAAATATGGACGTCATAATACAAAATATAAAGTTGCCGTGACCAGGTCCTTCTCATCAGCTTGGAGGTGAATTTTCAAAAACTGGAAACAAGTTTTTATAATCCGCTTGCAAGCATGTCCACGAAAACCGAGCAGCCAGACCCTGAAAAAGCAAAATTTAATAACACAGACTGTAGGTTAACTTCCCAGACTAACTTGGACTGATGACATAGGAAAGAAACACTGTTAACATTAACAATAACAAACACAAAAACAGAATGTTTGAGATAAATGTGTGAGCAGTGAAAGATTTTTCGCATGCTTCCCATGGGGAAAATCCTACATGGTCAAAATAAAATCAGTGGCAAAATGACCATTTTCAACATTCATTGACCCTTTTCGCACAAGATGGAGAAATGCGTAACAAATCCCCATGAGTTATCATGTAGGACGTGGTAGACACCATATTTTGCATTTAAGCAAAAATACCAGTGTTAGTGTTAGTGTTTGTTTTTAATTGAGGGTTGGCATATACATCCAAATTTTACACCACACTTTCCTCAGCAGACATTCAGAATACATTAAAATTTCACGAATTGAACTTAGCAAAAATATAAACTTTTCTTTGTTTAGGTGACCTCTATGACTTGCACAATCTTTGAACCATCATTTACTTCATACATTATTTCTTTTTCATTTGAAACCAAGGAAGCTGGCAATTTACCCATTGAAGCAGTTGATAATCCACTTACGGGCAGAGGTATGCTCCGAAACATGATATTGCACAGTGGCTCTGGAGACTCCACTGGTATCTATTTTAAGTGATGGAATGTCGTTATATCCTTACGCAAAACAATCATGTGCCCATTCATAGTCATTATGAATCCATTTAACTTTGACAAATGAAAGAGATATACCTTGCTTATACAGTCTTCACAAAAAGTTGAGGACAACTTACAAAAGTGAACTCAAAAATTAAAAACCAGGAAATCAAATTATGCCTTCTTTGACACACATTTAATTCATCAATCCACAAGTGCAAAAAAGAAATTTCATCACAGTCAAGACCGAAATGCATAATTCCCAGCGCTCTAAAGGGACCCACCTTCAAAACAGAAAATCACAACAGAAAGGGTCTCACAAAGTCTCACCAATATCAAAGAAAACGACTAGTTTAAGTTCGTGAATGTCAATGGAATTGTCAGAAGCGCACGTGTCCACCATTCAGGGCAAGGTAGTCAAGGCATCCTGACAGGGCAGCGGTATCTGCAGGAGATCCTTCGACCTCTGGTTGTCCCGGCACTGCAGCAGATTGGGCTTGCTGCTGTCCTTCAGGACGACAACGCCACGTCGCACAGGTCCAGGGCGTCAACACTTTCGTGCAGCAGGTGCGGATTACCCGCATGGTCTGGCCAGCCAACACTCCAGACCTCAATCCTATTGACCAGTTGTAGGCTGAGCTTGATCAGAGAATTCGGGAGAACTACCCTTTGCCCGCCAGCAGCTGCTTGGATGGCTGTAACAAAAATGGAACAACATTCCCCACGCCTTTCTTTTGTGATTTTCGATTTTGAGAGTGGGTCCCTTTTGAGCCCTGGGAATCATGCATTTCGGTTTCGATTGTGATGAAATTTCTTTGCTGCACTCATGGATTGATGAACTAAATGTTTATTAAATAATGAGTAATTTGATTTGCCGGTTTTTATTTTTCGTGCACTTTTGCAAGTGGTCCTTAACTTTTAGTGAAGACTGTATTATCTCGTGTCATCTTTCATTTTCGTCAAAGTGCAAAGGCTGATTTTTTTATCCGCAGACAAACGCTGTATGATTTTTTTGGTGTTATGTACGAGTCAAACTTTAAACGTGAGTATTTTTCAGAGAGTTCAAATATCTGCAAAATGCTTACTTAAGACCTTGTAACAAATTTACCGGAACCTTTCTCTAGTTGAAAGTTAGAAAAACACTGTTTTCTTTTATAAAAGAGTTAAAATTTACTAAAAGTATTTGATGCCTCCTGTCTTGTACAATACTATGTCGAATATTAAGTCTTTCGAAATACAAAACACCACTTTATTCCCTTTTTCTATTTTTGAGTTCAAGTTAATAATGAATGCAGCTGCAGCTGGCAATAAAATTGAAATGTTATCATTCTATTGTTATTTTTTCCGTAAGTGCTTGTCGCCACTGTAATATATGAGTTAATATTTCCCCAATAAACACCATCATGTCTCAAAAATCATTCAACGACTTGCTCTGGCATTTGATGACTACATGCAAAAATTAAGTGTGCAAAGATGGACTAAAATTCATGAAACATCTATTTCATGACATCTATGACCCTCATGAGGTCCTCACCTTTCAGTAAACATAAATATATATATTTATATACAGTCAAACCTGCCCTGACGGCCACCTTTATAAGACTGCCACTTTCCGTTTCCCCCCTTGCGTTTTTTCTATATAATTTAACTGTGTACAACAGGCACCTGTCCAACACGGCCGCGGCCACCATATTTTAACACACAACCCCTATCACACTAAGTAATAACACCTGTCTTAGACAGCCACCTTAGGGACTTCATTACGTTTTGTCATAAATTGTGCACTGGCCCCTGGCGTTGTGGGCGAGCTGTCATAATTCAATCACCTGTCGTTGTTGTTAGGTAGTCCCTCCAACCTATCATGTTGGGTAGGCCCCTCCCACTGTTGACCAATAGGTACCAATTTTCAGCTGCTGGTGAGGTAAGCATGTGATCCCTCATAACCCATAAGCCCCGCCCAGAACTCATACACAAATCGTAAGAGATGAGTGGTCACTGTTTACCCAGTCTGTAACAAAGAAACAATGGACGTCAACATGAACGCATCACTCGTTCTCCGAGTGGTGGCAACCCATGTGTTTGTTTTAACATGGTACTCAGTCTTCCTCGTCTGATACATTTCGTTTTATTGTCACTCTTGCGCAAAATCAGCAACAAAATAAAAGTGACAAACAAAATACAAACCAACAACAACAAAAACAAGAAACAATACGGCTACTCTCGATTGGGACTTCAGATGGGAATGGTTTGTTTTCTTCATCTTGATCAGTCCTGCCTAAAACGGCCACCTGTCTTATACGGCCACTTTTCACCTTGACAATGGGTGGCCGTCTTACACAGGTTTGACTGTATAAAAAAATTATTAAAAAAAAAAAAAAGTATATGAATATATATATATATATATATATATATATATATATATATATATATATATATATATATAGTGTGTGTGTGTGTGTATGTGTGTGTGTGTGTGTGTGTGTGTGTGTGTGTGTGTGTGTGTGTGTGTGTGTGTGTGTGTGTGTGTGTGTGCGTGTGTATGTATATATATAGAGAGTGGAACTAGGACTCATAGAGGTCGCTGGGCCTGACCTAAAATCTAGTTGATTCCAAGTGTTCGTTATAGAAAACATGAGGTTTTTTGTAGATAAGAGAAGTAACAAGTGGTGCCTGAAACACCTGCATATTATGAGCTGTGCAAAAAAAAAACTGATTCGTTCAAATGCACGCCTGTGTCATCTCGATTGTTTGCCAAAAAGTTGTGTTGCTGTGTAGAGCCTAGCATACAGCAACTTTCGATTCCACACACCAGCCCACAATTCATTACGTAAATCTACGTCAAGACTAGCTTATCATTGTAATATTAATCAGCTGCCGGGGGTAAAAAAGACAGACACGTTTGTATCTGCGGCGTTCCACGCCCGGACCGATGGTGCCCCCCCCCTCCCCAGTAACACATGTGCAGGCCGCCTATCCGACCCCGACACACATTAGAGTAGACACATGAGTGTGCCAACAACGCATGTGTGGGTAGTGGGTGTGAAAGAAGGTCACTGATTGGTCACATGCAATCCGCTCAGTGAATAATAGTTCATGATGCAGGTGCAATGGATGGTTTCCGGGAAGAGATAAAGTTCATTGTGGGATAAAAATGAGAGAAGCCACGTCTGCAGGGGGGGAAGGGGGTGTTCACCCAGGAAGCAACCTTGTTGAATCTGAGATTAATGATTTAAGTGTTCGTTGAATCCGGGTTATTGTTATTGATTTTAAAGAACAAAAAAAACAGGGAATCCATCCCCTCTCGTTGCACCCGAGCTCGTTGAATCCAAGTTCCACTGTATAGCCGGCCGTGTGAGTTCTGCGTGTCGGTATATATATATATATATATATTATTAAATAACATGTATTCAGGAAATAACAAACCTCAGACAACTAGAAAAGAAGATTTTTAGCATGGTGACTCACTTTGAACTTGTCAGTTCTTACACTCTTTGGGAAAGAACAAAATCTTTTGAGACGCTTCACCAGCTGAGCTTGAGTGGAGTACAGGCATTCGTCTAGAAACAAGAGAAGAAATAGAGAAAGAGACAAAGTCTATAAGGTATCATTTCAATTATGAACACTGTTGATGGCGTGCACTTTTACTCTTGCTCAGTACTTTTTATTTTATTTTACACAGACTGTTACCAGTGACTTCATACAATGTGCAAGGGTAGGAGGGGGGAAGGGAAAGGAAGAAAAACTTCCCAAATGGCGTTACTGACAATCCTTTTAAATTTTAAAGTACACTGATGTTATATTTCCTTGTCAGTCCTTCTACATAAAATGAAATCATTAGTTCATTCTCTATCATATGTTTAATAATAATATCAACTATAAAATTAACATGCAAAGTACAGCTGGATCCTGCTCGCCAAATTTGAGAGTGGCGATTCGTGATTCAGTCAGCTTCAAAGAATCGCGAGTACGAGAGAGCTCGCGGAACTCCGGCGGAACACTGACTGAAACGGAACAGTGTCATATCAATGCCACTTGGCTAGGGCAAGTCCCACTCTTGTTGTCCTGCCATCCTCTCCGCCCCACACTCTTTGTTGCGCTGCTTTATCTACTGACCTCAATTAGCGACCCCATAAATTCACACCCCCCCCCCCCCACCCCCACCCCATGATTCGCTAAAACAATGGCTCTATAAAATTCTTTCTGTCCATTGGTTGGAACCCATTCATTTTGTTTTAATAGGGGGGTTGAACTATACCTATCTTTTGTAAAATAAGGGGAGCCATACTAAATGTTCCGTTCCGTTTTTGCGCTCGCGATTCGACTCAGCAGTAGGTTACAAAAACATAAGCTGCAAGGTGGTGACAGCGACAGGGGAGTGAATCAGGAATCAGAAGGCGACACTGTTCTGCGTTCTGCTGAAGTGAATCGGGAATCGCGTTCCGCAGGCAAGAGTGGCGATTCAGTTCCGTTCTCGCCCTCGCGACCCAACTCTAATTCAAAGAGGAAGCCCATTTGGAACCCTAAATATTTTGTGCCACATTGATGGACATCTGGGTCAAACAAATCTAGGACAACTTCATTGAGGTCAATTCTATCTCTAAGCAGCCTAAAAGACATAACAGAAATATCCTATGTCAAAATCAACAGAAACATAATATTTTATCTTACATTATAAGCAAAAACAGTGGCAAATCCATGGAACAGATGAACAGGGAATGGCATAAATCATCGTAGTAGGGCTATTGAATAAGTAGCAGCACTGTGGAAAAAATTCCTATTATTACCTACCAATTGTGAGGCATCGTGGTGAAATCGGGCGCTCGTCAAAATAATGAAATCCGGGAAATCAGCATTTTCCGGCCAGTTTGGACATTTTTTTCGAATTTTTGCTTTATGGCTCAGCACCTCGTATGTCAATTCAAAAACACTTTTATGTGTAGATTTTTAAGGAGTAGATTTTTAAGGAAAAACGTTGAATAAAGGAACAAAAATGTAAATTTGTAGTTTCCAAGGACTCTTAAGCTATGGAAGTCACCAAACTTTGGCGGCCATTCTCTCGCTAATTTTTCTTCTGAAACCAGGCGACCCCACCTACTTCAATCTCAAGTACCTCGACTTCTATTATTAAAGATAAATGGATACTTTTTCATCGAAAGCAAGGCAAATTAACAACCTTTAAGATGATACCAATAACTCCATATGCCCAAAAATTGACGAGCGCCTGATTCCACTGTGTTGTGACACAGTTATATTTTTTACATGTTTGCCCAAAAGCCATTCTAGACTTAATAAATTGCCAGTGTTGACTGTTGTATTCATTTGAAACCTCTAAAAATATGGATTTGTTAACAGTGTGCATGACTCTGTCTGCAAAATTTGTAGCTTTGCTGGTATTTTTAAAAAATTACTTATGACACTGCAAAGTTGGCTATTGGGCCTTTTGCACACTGTGTGGTTTTGCAAAATTTAAAGATCCATAAAGTTCTTAAAAATCAAAATACATTAATTATGTTTGTTTCAAACTGATCAGTAAAAAACTTTTACACAGTGGGTAGGAGAAGAATAGAAACAGGGCACTTTCAGTTTTTGTTTTTGAGTACCTATAACAGTGGAAATAACTTGAAATACAACACTTTTTTTTACTTTCGAGTTTCATTTCACCTTCACCATTCACTTATAATCTGTCGCCCTCTCTTTGCATTTTTTGCTCTTACAGTTGTTGTACTTCTGGCTACTTTGCAATATCCTTTTAATCTGTTAGTCCTTTCCAGCTTTTTAACAATATTTTGAGCATACAATCATACACTCTTTGCTTGTTCCTCTTCATCACAGAAACTAAAGTGACATGATCATAGTCCAATAGTCAGACAAAAATGTTCCCAAAACTTTCTTTGTTTAATAGCCAGTCCATATTAAACTTCTTTATCCCTAATGCAAGAAAAACAGACATTCTCTTCAAATTAACAAATAAAGATTTGGATGGACATCTTGCTCACACCATGCCATGCAAAGTCTCATTTGTAATTTGAGTATTTTTCCTCTGCGCACCTACTCAACACTTCTCATTGATGTGCTTTCACAATTTCCTTTATTTGTTCTACCACCTCAGATGAAAAAGAGGTTCTAACCTTCACTCTCTGTGAGTGTGAGGCTTTTATTCATCCATCCTAGCATTGCCTCATTTTCTAAAACAAATAACCATGCCCCTCCGAGTATTTTTTATGATTTTGCTTTTCATCTTTAGAAGCACAGTCATAAAAAGTGGCCCAAACAGCTTTCTTCAAGTTTTTGTTGAATCTAATTGCTCTTTTGAAATATTTCTAGGCGTGCCTTATTTGTCTAAATAAGCTTTTCCTCCCCTGTACCTCCTAAAGAAGTCTTCCTTTTATTTTTTGTTTTGTTTAAAATCCTCAGAACTCTCTCAAGCCTCTGTGCCACACAACACTCTTTTATTTCACATGTCTCTATTTTCATATGGCTTGGGCTAATTAATTTTTATCACTTTCTTTAAGTCACAAACAGAAACTGCTGAAACATAGCTCTGTTAACTTTCAATGGAACGCCGCTAACATACTTGCGCTGCCTCAATTTCTCTGGCACTCGCAGTTCCGTCCAAGGTTTTGAAGCAGCCTTTCTTGTGTGCTCTGAGCCGCTCGTTACACTTTGCATTGTCGGTTTTCTTTGACCGTTCACCTGTTGTGGTGTACTGTTTACAGAAATGACTTACGGCACGAGTCTCCCACCAGACACTGACTCTATGACACTCACCGCCATTGTTCGATGGGTGGACATTTTTCTGCCAGCTTCTATTAGGTGACATTTTGATGTTATATATTTTGACATTTCTATCTCAATGAAAGCCTTATTACAATAATTTGATAATATGTGTCAAAACGCTGTGGAATTAGGTGCCCATCAATTTTTGGGTATGTGGAGTTATTGGTATCATCTTGAAGCTTGTTCATTTGTCTATCTTTTGATGAAAAAAATACCTATTTAACTTGAATTAAAGTCGATAAATTTGCGACTGGTGACGGGGTTTGTTTGTTTGGTTTTTTTGGTTTTGTTTTGTTTGTTTTTGTATTATTTTTTTTTTTTTTGTTTTTTTTTCCTCAGCAGTAAAATTAGCAAGAAAATGGCAGCCAAAGTTTGGTGAATTCCAAAGCTGGAGACTCCTTGAAAAATGAAAATTTACATCTTCTGTTCCTTTAATCAAGGTTATTCAGAAAAATTAACACAGAAATGTGTTTTTAAATGGAAATAAACGATGTTGAGCCAGAAAGCAAAAATTCGAAAAAAAACTGCCACACCGTTAGAAAAATGACGGAATCCTCATACTCAATTTCAATATTTTGACGTGCGCCTGATTTCACCATGATTCCTCACATATTGTAATCACCATTTGGCCTTTTTTCCTGATGGAGGTGCTGTTGAGGTGTGTTTAAAAAAAAAAAAATTTAATTGATATCAGAGTCGTTTCTAGAGTGCCATTTGTGTGTGTGTGTGGGGGGGGGGGCTTAAAAATAGCTGGATATAATTCTCTTACCAGGATATATTTCAGGATACACCAGTCGTTTAGGGCACAAGGGAAAACATCCTCTGCTCACAGCTTCCAACCTGACGATATGGATGTTAAAAGATGTAAATTTCTGTGACAGATTATAATTGCTTCATTTATCTGTCATTGTCTCTAAGAAATAAAAATGGTGATAACCTCCTATGAAAACAACTAGCAACTATCTATTGCAAATATAATAATAATAAATAGCATTTGTAGAGCGCATAACCCCACTCTACAGCAGGCTCATAGCGCTTTACACTATAATATCATTACCCCAGCAGACCATAGAATACTCAGAAAAATTCTCAGCTTCCAAGGAAGCATACAGTGCAAGCAGCTGATTAGAGCTCAAACACTACCAAACTGACAAGATCTTTCACTGTCTGTAGGTGGATACCCATTCTCACCTGGGTGACGTGAGAAAAATTCGTGTAAAGCGCCTTTTCCGAGGATACAAACAATCATATGTCAGGTTTCCGACAGGATTCTAACCCATGACGTACGGTTGTGAATCTGAGAGCCCAACCACCAGACCATCGATGCCTCAACAGACTCCACTGAATTTTCAAGTATTCAGAATCCAGCCACAGCATCTTCAATACCCCCCTTTCCACTGTCCAGCACTAACTGACTTCACAGCTACTTTTCTCTCTCTGAGATCACACAAAGAGAAAATGCACTTTATGGAAGTACACAAAAGTGGAAGATGTCAAGCAACTATACCACCTCATGGCTAAGGGTTGAAGAGCAAGAAAAGCAACAATTCAAGTCTCAAATGCTGGAAATAGTACTTTCACAGTATGTCCATCTCTCTCTCTCTCTTTTCCTATTGGCACTGTGGCGTCATAAGTGGTCAGCCATGCCGACAGCACTCAATACTTGCTCAGGGTCCTTGAAAAGTGATGAATGTAGGTCACTAAAATGTCCCAGCAGACGTGTTTTGGCAAAATAATATGTCCATCTGGCAAGGTCAGGTGATTTATGAAATATTCCCACTTTGCTTTAAGTATATAGTTTTGGTAACAAATAACACATGCACTTACAAAAAAGACAAATGAGATAACTACAGAATGGTGGATTGATTTTAAAATTTCACAAAATCATATGTGTCTCACGATGTGGTGTAATCAGGCACTCATCAGGTTTTGGGAATATAAAGTTATTGGAGTCATCTTAAAGGTTGTTCATTTGTATATTTTTTAAAGAAAAAAAAATACCCACCTATCTTTAACAAACATCGAGGTATTTGCGATTGAAGGATGTGGGGTTGCCTGATTTCATAGGTAAAGTAATAAGCAAGAAATAGGCTGCCAAATTTTAATGACTTCCATAGCTTGAGAGTCCTTGGAAATTGAAAATTTAAATTTTTTCCCCCTGTAATCAATGTATTCAGTAAAATCAACACAGAAATGTTTTTAATTATAATAAAAAATGTTGAGCCGCCCCAAAAAATGTCTGTTTCTTTGATTTCATTACTAGCGCCTGATTTTCCCATGATGCCTCACATTCATATGTTTTGTGTCTAGAACAATTCATTGTGTACTTACATGGAAACTCCAAAGAATTCATGTTGTGCAGTAGAAACTACTACATCAGCTTCATCTATGATGCACAGGTAATCCTCTCTTGTCTGATATCCCCAATTCAGTATTTTATCTTGCAAGTGAGATTTTGCTCTCAGGAATATATCAGGTACTTCGGAAAAGGCCTCCCCTACCACAGACACCCTAAAATCCAAACCTTCTTCTGTTAGGGAAAACAGAGCATTGAAGAATGCTTCCGGATCCTTGTCATGCTCCCTGAAAATAAATATCCAATACTATATTATTACACAACAATGAGGTTAAATTAAACACTTCACAAAATGAAGACAAACCTTAATGATATTTCATATGTGAGGCACTGTGATGAAACCAGGCGCTCGTCAAAATAATGAAATCAAAGAAATCAGCATTTTTTGGGCCAATGGGCAATTTTTGTTTAATTTTCTTTTTTTTGGCCAAACACCTTTTATGTCCATTTATAAACACATTTTTGAGTGTATTTTACAGAAAAACATTGATCAAAGACACAAAAAATGTAAATTTTCAGTTTCCAACGACTCTCAGGCTATGGAAGTTACCAAACTTTGGCGGCCATTTTCTTGCTAATTTTACCTCTGAAACCAGGCGACCCTGACCTCCTTCAATCGCAAATATTTAGACTATTATTCAAAATAGATGGATTTTTTTTTCACCTAAAGGAAGGCGAATGAACATGCTTTAAGATTATATACCAATAGACTCATATGCTCAAAAATTGACGAGCGTCTGATTCTGTCACGCCGTGACACATATGGTAGACTTTTAAAAAATCTGTTTTTCACACCCAACTAGATGTAACATAAGTCATTTCAAATACATAATCTTTTTTTAACCCTCGTTATTACACATTAATGAGTAAAGAAAACCATCACAATTCCGACAAGAAAACCATAGACTTCTTAGATTCAAAAGCAGAATTTCAGCAAATCAGCTGGTCTTGCAACCCACAGAAAGGAGAGGAGAGGAGAGCGAGAGAGAGAGAGCGAGAGAACGAGAGAGAGAGAGAGAGAGAGAGAGAGAGAGAGAGAGAGAGAGAGAGAGAGAAAGAAAGAGAGAGAGAGAGAGAGAGAGAGAGAGAGAGAAAGAGAGAGAGAAAGAGAGAGAGAGAGATGTATATTTTAGGATGGAGAGACCATTTCAGTAAAAGTATGCAGTTAATATCTTCAACTTCAGAAAAGGACCAAAAAAGTATATTTCATCACGATATTATGGCTTCTTGCCAACAAAATAGGTGTATCCTAAAAAATAGCAAACTATAAGATAGTTGCAGAACTAAGCCATTATAATAATCACCAGTAAATATCAGTGTTACCATTACATAGATGAGTATCATGAGCAATTTTATCTTCCTAACTTTTAAAAGTTAACCGATGAGATCAACATAATGGTTTCATTGCTTAAATAGGAGCTACCTTTCAAACACACACAATAAGTAAGAAATATTCCAGCTTACCATCTGTGAGGCCACACAATATGAACAAGAGAATGATGACATGGCTTCTTGCTTCTGGTTAATCCGTGTTCTTTATGCTCATCATTTTCCTGCTTTTCCAATGTGAGAGTATTTTTATCAACACTGTCTTCAAAACTTGATTCCAGGCTACCTCCTATTTCAGCTACTGAGAGCTTTTCAGAAGTAAAATCAATGTTTTTTCGCTCCTCTCCACAATTACTGGAGCCTGAACACAGCTGACCTGAGTATGTACAATTCATTTCACAATTCACTTCTTTCACATCTGCAACACAATTTAAGTCTATGGGTAAATCACAGTCAGTCCTTTCTTTTTTCACACTGATTGTTTGAAGCTCTTTGGCACATACTGGTAATGATATTGGAAAATACAGCACTCTGCATTTAGGTCTCACCATGACATCAATGCCTTTGGGTCGATGATCAGGAATAAGCTTCAAATGAGACGAAATTGAAGACAAAAATGACTCCATGTTGAATTCAGAATTGAATATCACAGAGTCTGCAACCATGCTGTGAAAAGACAAATAACGCTAGTTCAGTGCAACACATGGAAACATTACATTTTTACACAAACTTCAGTCATTCTTGTGAGAAACAAACATTCTGGACTTTCTGTGAGAAAATATTTTTAGCAGGAAGACCTGAAATTTTTAATCTGTCAAGTAAAAAGTACATATATATGACATAAAAAATTTACATTTCTAAAAACAAAAACTGTTTATTACCGATATATATATAGATAAAACTTAAAAACCATGAGGTGTCTTAACTCCGAGCAGTTTTGCCTATTCTGGCTTCTTCATTTATGTTTCAGGGGTCCTCCATACCCTCAATCCTCATGCAATCATTTATCTACTCCAGATATACATATTCAATGGGAAGGGAATTGGATGGTCTTTCAGACGTAGTCAATAGATTTCATTTTTGTCAATCTGTCTTGAAGTGGGACCTTTTTTGCTTGTTACTAAAAATAGAAACAAAAACAGAAATCACACTTTTTCAACATTCACAAAGAAGGGGGGGGGGGGAAGTGTTTGAGAATTTAGAGTTTACAATTATTTCATGGAAAAGTGAATTCAGTTCTGTATACATGTGTCAAAAATACACCATTCTGTTGGAAAATAAAGAAATGAGAGCCATTCTAGTACATCCTACAATCCCTAGTTATTGCCCTTAAATCTGGAAATTTCATATCATGACTTTTTGCCCTCGAGCCTCCTCTCAGATAGACATATTTTATATACCAATAGAAAGGGAATTAGAGGGTTTTTCAGACCTAGCCAATAGATTTCATACTTGTCAAGCTTTCTTACTGAGGTGTGACATATTTTCATGTTACTAAAAATAGATGCGGAAACAGAAATCGGACTACCCAAAAATCAGAAAGAAGAAAACAAATATTTTACAATTTAAAGTTTACAATTATTTGATGAGAAAGTACATTCAATTCTGCATGTAATGTGTACAAGACACCTCATTCTGTTGAAAAATAAAGAAATGAGGGCAGTTCTTGTGCATTCTACAAATTCTCGGTTATATCCCTTGAAACTGGAAATTTCAGAGCGAGAATTTTATAATGAAACCATCAATTCTAATACAGCAATACACATTTAAAAATTTTTACTTTTATTGATTATTTGATAAAAATACCTTACAAAATTTTCTGTATAAAAGTGAATGTATTTTATGGGCGAAATACCACATCACCAGCCATCGTATATATTTATACGAAATAGTACTGCATGAACAGCAGAGAGTTAAAGAATGACCACATAATTACCAAAATAAAATCCTTCCAATTGTTGTCAGATTGTGTGATCACATATATGTCTACCTGTGACCCCAGTCCGGCATTGTCAGAGGAAAAACATACCGCTGATCAGGTAAGCAGCAGGTCTTCATAGCGTGCATTAGTGATTATGGTGGATCTTAAGAATTATTATAGATTTAAGACTTCAAATCCAAATCAGCAACCTAGCTCAATAGCACCAGAAACTACTTTGTATCGTGACCAAAGAGTCAACATTCTACTCTGTGACCAGTATGAAATTTGAGACTCTGAAGACAACGGAAGACAACTGTGACATCCATGGCCTAGTTGTTAGGCTCCCTGACCCGCAACCGTAAGGTCATGGGTTTAAATCTCATTAGGAAACTGAAGTTGTGTCTTTGGGAAAGGCACTTTATATGAGTTTTCCTCACTTTATCCAGGTGGAACTAGGTACCCGGCTATCTAAGACAGCGAAAGATCTTGTCAGTTTGTAAATGCTTGAGAGCCTGAAATCCGAAGCTTGCACTGTATGCTTCCAGGGGAGCTAAGAATGTTTCTGAGTATACAAAGGTGTGTTGGGTAATAATAGTTGTTAAGCGCATGTAGAGCAAAGGACAATCTAAAATTTGTTACTTATTTTTATTACATTTTCTGATAAAATGAATACCTTGACAGTATCTGGTTGTATCCGTACTGAAAGTCTCTATCCTGTCTCTTGCGCACTGGATATATAAGCTGGTTCTCATGAAAGTAGATTATTTTTTTTAAAGCTGCCAAATCTGGCCGAAGTGCAATCAGTTCAGCCAGGTTGAGTACAGAACTTGAAAATAAGTACCTGAAACACATCATAATCAAAAGTCATAAGATCACTTCCAAAATGCAAGACCATAATTAGATATACTCATATAAATGGGGACAATGTTCTAAACGCAGAAACATTTTTTTCCTCTTCAAGTGTCAGATCTGGAAAAGCCATCAGTAATTTTGGTACGCCATTCAGTTTTCTGTTTGGATGTCATGTTCTAAAATTCATACTATAATATTCTCTTGTCTTTTCTCATCTTCCAACTGTGCAGAATCTCTGTGTGTATGTTACTATTGGCTTGCCTCTACCTCTTTTTGTAGGCCTTTTCTAAAAGCTGAAAAAAAATAAAAACATACAGTGTTTCTTGAAATGTACCGTGGGCAATCATTGGTCCTTTTTGCCACAAAAAAAAGAGTTGTGTACAGGGTTACACAATCCCCTTTTAGTCTCCAGTAGACATGACAACTGACCTTCCATCACAGTTCAGAATCAGAAAAGCCAGCTTACAGTGCCTTTCACCAGCGGGAGTGTCTAATACAGTAGTCTCCGCCTAAGATCCCGGTGCTCGGGAGCAAGGAAATACGGGATCTTAGGCGAACCGGGATCTTAACCGACAAACCCATGGAAGAATCTATGGTGACCCATGCTAAGACTCACAATCGATAAAATGGTCTCCCTCCACTCTAAAATGAACTGACGTGACCGCTGGGTGGGTTTATGACGTATGGCGAGCAAAGAGTGGTTAACCTTGATGACCTATCACAGTGTATAGTGGGATGAGACGTGCCATTTTCACTTATTATCCTATCATGAGTCTCAAATTCTACACTTATCCAGTTGCCCCTCCCCCATACCTGTCAAAAATTTATAGCTTTCCATCTCTGACCGAGCCCCCCCCCCCCCCCCAGTCTGTCTCGCAAATTCGGGAGTAGAGACAACTTCTGCAATGGTCAGGGAAGAGTTCACAGTTCAATGTGATCCCACCTGGAGCGAACGTGTAGGCCCTACCCATCCAGCGAGTGATGTAAGTTTAGGGGGAGAGCTCAGGTGTGAGTGCGATGTTCGGGGAAAACAAACGTGTCGGTCAGTTCACACCCCGTTGTGATCCCGTCTGGGGCAAACATTGTATCACTTCATCGAGTTTTACAACATGTATGTGATCACATTCATGATAGTGGCTGATCTTTGACGCCACGGACAGTTTATTGATCTCAACTTTTCACTCTTGATTGATCGGCTGTCCCGCCCGCGTTTTTGTTCCGCAAAATGATGATCTGAAATGCGGGATCTTAGCCGAATGTAGACCTTCAGAGTGAATCAGAGCGGGATCTTAGGGGTGACTTTTGTATAGTAAATATTCTGTTTTCTTAAAACAGCCGGATCTTAAGCGAACTGGGATCGTAAGCGGTGGGATCTTAGGCGGAGACTACTGTATATGAACGCAATTGCGTGCACCAATACATTTTTTACTATGCCATAGATTCTCTACTACCAAGATATTGCACTTTCTCTTGGGGCTTTTGTCCGCGTGATGGGTTACACCACTAGGTGATGCGAGGTAGCTGGCTCCATCGCCGACTGCTTGTGTGTGTATGTGTGTGTGTGTGTAAGCGTGTGTGAGTGTGTGTATGTGAGGGAGTGTTTGTGTGGGCGTGTGTGTGTTTTGTGAGTGTGTGCGTGTGTGTGTATCCAGCAGCTGGATTACAGTTTTTGGTGAAGCTATCAGCCTTGTGGAAGTACCATTCTCATATATATATATATATATATATATATATATATAATATATATGAAGTCTCAATTTCAGCTTCTTGTTTAAAAGTTTCCTGAGCAAAATATTGGCACAGAAACATCATCAAGGAGGCCACATGATGGAACCTGGAGTCATAAAGAATGGTAAGAAAAGTGGAAAGACATATTATATATGGATGGTATAATTTAGAGATCTATAATGTCAAGGCCACCTTTATTCTCACCCCAAGTGAGAATAACCCATGTCTCGCTATTCTCACTCCCCCCCGGCGAGAACAGCTCCCACCCTGGTGTGGGCATGAGGTGAGGACTCTCCCCGACCTCTCGCAGGCCGATAAAATCACCTAGATCTAGGCCCTTGGTGGCTTACCGCATGTGGTTGGGAACGAATAATAATTATTATGTAAAAACAATTTTTCGCCTCTCCAGTAAAGAAAAAAAAAGGCTCACTACCGACGTTACTGAGCGGGAGTGGGACCGGCCACCAGTCGGAGCATTCATTGTTTACACTCTTAACGATAGCAGGCCTCTCACTCTCTGCCTGCACACAATAAAATTATGGTTAAAGGAACAGTGAGAGAGCGTGTACAAATGAAACAAGACAGAACAGAAGCACAAAACAATATAAATGCTCTCGCACGACAGTAGAAGGGTTGTAAATTATTCAGACCAAATGGGCGAGGGAATTAAATCGTGTTAACTAAATCTAGTTTAATAATTAAACAGTCCAAGCTCTTTTCTTCACTTTCATTTTTTTTCCTTTTATTCTTTCCTTTTCCAAGTTTTCTTGCCTCTTTTTTCCCTTTCTTCTTGAACATTTGGAGTTTGGAGCCAAAAAAGAGCCAGCAGAGAGCCAAATGAAATTCTCCGGGCCAGACGCGATCCACAGGAGCCAAATTTCTGGGATTTGGCTCCAAACTGACAACCCTGACTGACTATTTGGACACAAACAGTGACGAACATGATGCTGTGGAGCATCAGCCCCTCCTCCCCCCCCCATATAACTATAGGTACTTTCTTTGCCCCCCCCCCCCCCAAATAACTATACGTACTTTCTTGCCCCCCCCCCCCCCATGTCCGCTAACCTCAGCCCTTGATCCCTCTAGGGTCATTTCTGGTAAAATGAGGGGGTGAGGAATGGCGAGACATAGATCTAGATTATTCTCAATAACCACTTCCTAATGAGGCTAATGATGTCAAGGCCGCAGCTATTCCAACTCAAGTCTTAATGTGCAGCCTCCTCGGACTCGAGTCTGAATTCGAGTTCGAATAGCCTTCTGTGGCTAGGCCTATGCGGACTCAAACTCCAATGCGTGTGCACGCAATCACTAGATGTACCGGATGTGAAGCAGAAGTAATTCGACCTTGACTTTCTTCGGTTTCTACGATCTCGAACTTACAACAAATGGACGCCGACCATGGTGACCCCGTGCGAACTGTGGTCTTTTCTTTATAAAAGATAATACAATAGTAGGGCCGGGCAGTGGGCAACGGTATGGAAGGGAATAATCTATGAAAAAAAAAATGGGTGAAGGTGGTGGGGCGGCGCGGGCCTGGGGAAGTAAGATGGAGAGAAAAAGTAAGAGAAAGAGAGAAAGAGAGAGAGAGAGAGAGAGAGAGAGAGAGAGAGAGAGAGAGAGAGAGAGAGAGAGAGAGAGAGAGAGAGAGAGAGAGATAGAGAGGGGGGGGGGGCTGTCTTAAGGACTGATGATGAATTTTATGTTTTGATCCCTTTGTAGTCGTGAAAACAGTGTAATAGCCTACCACTACCAGCAGTTTAAAGTCGGAATAGCAACGGGAGACTATTCGGACTCGAGTAAAGACCTCGCTTACGTTACAACCGGTGATTGTTGCGCACGCACATGGGAATTTGAGTCCGAATAGCCTCCAGAGGCTGTTCGGACTCGAGTCCGAATAGCCACTTAGTGTCAAACAGCTTGCCCTAGCCTGAATATAAGTGGAACGGAGTGTTTATTGGCCCACAGGGGCATTATATATAGGCCGGCACTATTTCTCCGAACGTTCGGGAAAATAAAGCTGGGCACTATTTCTCCGAACGTTCGGGAAAATAAAGCTGGGCACTATTTCTCCGAACACTGTGAAATCTCATCCTTTCCCGCAAATTTCGGATATTATATAGATCTATAATTATAGTATAGGCCTACCAAAGATTGTTCGTATACAATATGGTTCAATCGGTCCAAAAAATGTCCGCAGTAAATATTTATAAAAAGAAATGCTGCAATTCCAAACAGTTTTTCTCTACAGATATGACGTATGTTGCCTATGAAGGGTGCTGCTCTTTTTACGGAGGGTTATTGATAACGACACATAGAACTGGCATCTGCGTTTGACACTGCTGTGATCAATGTACTGACACTGGCAAGTCCCTTAATGTGTGTGATTCCATAATTTACATGTAATATCCTGCACTTTTTTAAAATTACGCACATTTAGGGTTAAAACAGCCAAATCTTCTTTGGACAGGTGGACACACGCCCTTATTTGTTAATGTTTGTTGTTGTGTGTGGACTGTTCTAATTTTGATTTCTTTCTGTTGTGAAACCTTTCTTTTTCACGTTTTTACACTCATCTAAAAATCTCTAGACTAGCTAGCTCTTGAAAATTGAAATAGATACAGACCCAAAAATTTGCCCCTGTGTGTGTGTGTGGGTGTGTGTGTGTGTGTATGTATGTGCGTGTGTGAGTGTGTCTGTGTGTGGTAGTAAGTGGAGAGTGAGGAGTATGTGTGTGTGTTTGTTTTTCGGGCCTTATTTCAAATTTCAGCCTGTATTCAGTAACAGTTCAAAGTATACAAAAATAGAAACACAGGATCCATTCACTCCAGGGCTCATGAGTCGTTCATCTCTTCCAGTTTCACTCAATCATTCAATTCCCGTGTTCTCTCTCGCGGCTCTTCCCCGTCCGCATGACTTTCATCCCCCACCCCCTCCCTCCAGGCACACACAAAGAAAACCTCACTCATTCCCTTGCACCCTGTGAACCATGGACAATAATACAGGCAAAACACTGCCTGGGCTGCATTCCTTTCGTTCGTGAGCTGTGGACCAGGCCAGGGGAGGGTCGGTGTCGTCTTGTAGTTGCTGTCACCTGTGGATACACTCGCACATTCTTCCTTTCACTTTCACCGGCTCTTTCACTCACACTGTCTCTCCATCCACAGCTCAACTCCTCATACGTTCAAAAGTTGCCCACTGGTCATGTTTAGTTAGTGTGTGTACATGTGCATGATGGTGGTGGGTGTGTGGTGGGTGTTAGTGAAGGCTGTCTGTAGGCGGGCTTGCCATGCGGTGTTCCTTCCCAGACCAGAGGGCAGAGGCAGAATGAAAGTTGGCGCCAAACTCTCGCAATAAATAGGCAAAATATCACGAGACCGGAAGCCGGAAACCGTTCGGAGAAATAGTCACTTCGTTATATATATGATTTCCCCTAGAACATTTCTTATTTGCCTACAAAATTGCGAGTTTTCTCCCCTGTATTTGGTTCCCCCCCCCCCCCCAAATACACAAAGTTCATCAATCATATGTTTTAAATTGAGAATGTATAGTTTTCCAATCTAATGCTAAAAATAAAAAGATTAACAATAGAGTCTAAAAGAAGCTACACATCTTCATCTTGTATCCAACACAGTATACATAGAGTAAACAAAGAAATAACTCAATTATACCGTAATATATCGTTTGATGAAAGAAGCAAGCCTACATCTGGAGAACCTAAATTCTAAATGAAATACTGTTCGCAGACGATCAAAGTCTACTGCATAACAATAACACTGAACTGCAGGAACACGCTGACAAACAATCAAATCTGTAGAAATGTGTGCGAGATGGAATGCCTCAGGAAAACATTAACAAGAAGGGATAAAGTGAGAAAAAATAAATGAGAACAAGTTGGGACAACACCACGTACGAAATACATTGAAAAAACAACGCATTAAATGGCCCAAATGGCCCATGTGGGCCACCTAAGTGTGGAAATGTGCCAGTGGCTCCTGGGGGTTTTGGTGGGGGCGGGGGGATTTCAAGTAGCTTTACTATGATAAGTTTAAATTACGTAGGCCTATATGCCTAGATTTTCTAGATCTAGAAATCTAGATTCTAGATCTAGATCTAGATTACCTGTAGTTTTTTCCAGAAGGAATTGTTTGGCTGAAATACAAAGCTGACGTCCGGGCTCGCCAATGCCACTTCTTCGCTGGCAAAGTCAGAATTTCAGCACGGTGTGCAATTTCATGATCAGACAGAAGTAGTTTCACAAGTTGCCCGTGAGACCCCCCAAAGAAGGGTTCGATTATCAAAATGTCTTTCATGAGTCCTGATGAAGAAAAGATACGACGGCAACCGGCAAGGGCTGTTGAGTCAAAACAATTTTACGTAAAAACACCGGCAGAGTGGTCGGTGTGATGACAATAACAAATAACTAACACAAGGTTCAAGGCACAGTACTCTCAAGCTTGTCCAGAGATAAATATTGCCAGAGTTTTGCCCCATGCCCTATGTTCGGCGTTTGGAGCGCAGTGCGCAAACTGTGTGAAGGCCACAGAATTCTACACTTAGTGTAGAATTCTGTGGTGAAGGCCGAAGGCCAGGTTAATCAACATTCCAGGTCCCTGACCTTGGTCAATGATTAGTTATTCAGTTATTAAGATAGGATAGTTTACTGTATTTGATATTTGCTTTCATTACATGCTAATCATTCATAATGTCTACAACCGATCATCATTTTGTTAAAATTCCCGCAGAGTAATTGTGCAATCTTTGAAATGCTCACTATTCCGCCTGCTTACTTTACGTAGACTTACATTGTACACGCGCGTTTATAAATTTATTTTCTGCGATCATTAACTAAGACTCTAATCTCTTAAAGACGACAAAACGTTACATAAAAGAAATGAAGATGAATGTGGATTTGGAACTGGGTCTCACAACCTTAAATGTATCCCAGTAACTCCCCTCCCTTTGGCCCTGCTTTTCCGTATTAAATTCATTACCTTCGCGCATTATAATGTTTCCCTGACAACTACAATTTCAACTCTCTCTCTCTCTCTCTCTCTCT